AGCCCCAAGGAGATTGTGTTTCATATAACACAGCAAGAATGTGGTAAATCAATGAACTTTCATGAAAATATGACCCAGAAAAATTATGGCCAAGGAAAACTAACTATAAATTAGGTGGAGTAGCACCCAGGAGATGAAGGCAGCAGAATCAAGAGTTTCAAGGCCAGGTTTGGCTATATTCACTTTCAGTGCTAGCCTAGGCCACACAGCCTGTCTCCAAAACAAAACAAAAAGCAAAGCTAGGTGACTACAAGACTACATATATACTTAGTATTGGATAACGAGACATCTCTCCTACTCTCAGCATTCCTTAGTTGTCTGTGCTTCTTTGTCTAGTGTTGAGGCTCCATGATCATCTCTTAAATCATATACAAACAAGTAACATAGAAACTGAGCAGCTGTATTTCTATATTTACAAATATATAGATATATACATATGCATGTAACAAAAATTAAAGAAATAGAGGCCATGAATTTGAGAGCAAGGGGTGAGTGCATGGGAAGGGTTGGAGGGAAGAAAGAGGAAATAATCTACATATATTTTAATTTCAAAAACACATTTTTGCTTTTTTTTTTTTGAGACAGGATTTCTCTGCATAATCTTTTGGCTGCCCTGGAACTCACTTTGTAGACGATGCTGTCCTTGAATTCACAGAGATCCGCCTGCCTCTGTGTCTCAAGTGCTTGGATTAAAGGTGTGTACCACCACAACTGGCTTAAAAACAATTTTTCAACTACATACACACATACATAATGTTTCTATAAAGGATGTAGTTTCAATTTTAATTTTGTTTTAGGCACATAGGTGCCACAGTGTAAGGGTTCAAATCAAAGATAATTTCCAGAAGTTGGTTCTCTCTTACCATGTGGATTCCAGGGATTAAATTCAGATCATCAGGCTTGGCAGCAAGTGCTCTTTTACCCACTGAGAAATCTCACCAGCCTCCCAAAGCTGTTTCAATTGGTAAAACAAAGTACATGCACCTAAGACAACACTGTATATACATAAGAAAAAGCCTAAACTCTGACATCCCTTAAAATATTATGAATAAATGTGAAATTGCCAGGGAATGGGATCAGTTCTGCTGCTGCTATTCTTTGAAATTTGTGTGATTAGTTTATTATTTTTCACACCTATTGTTTAATTCTGTTACAAAAAATTCACTATTTTTATAAGTTTAAATCTAATAATAAATTATAAGTCAAGTAGGGAACAGGCATTAATCCGGGTTAAAAGCCACCTTCTTTAGTTTTTATGTGCAGTCAGCATTGCTTGTTTTTAAACTTCATTTTCAAACGGAACTACTGGGCCAGTGAAATGGTTGAATGGGTGAGAATGCTTGCTACCAAGCCTGACGGCCTGAAAATTTTTCCCCTGGGACCCATATGGTAGAAGAGAACTGACTTCTGCTGACTGTCTTTTGACCTACGCACTTGTGTCATGGCATGAACACCCACACACATAAGAAAATATTAAAAAAGGAATTTTTATAAAAACTTGAGCCAAATGACAATTTTAAAAGGCCATTTTATACTGTGGATACAGAAACTTCTAGAAAGGCCCTCATTTCCTTCTTTAGTTTTTGGTTTTTGACAAAGGGTCTTACTCTGTAGTTCAGCTTGACCTCAAATTCACAACAATCCTCATGCCGCAGTCTCCCAAAATATGTGATTAAGGCTGTGAGCCACTATGTCTGATAAAAGATCTAATACAATTTAAGATTTCAAAATTTTTAGATTTTTATGGAGTGATAAAAGCAGGTACAGTTGAGGCAAGGTAACACTGGCCTTTAGTCCTAGCATTCAGGAGGCAGAGGCAGAAGCAGGAAGATTTCTATGAGTTTGAGACCAGCTAGGTCTATGTAGCAAGTTCCAAGCCAGCGAGAGTTACACAGTGAGACTCTAAGTCAAAAAAAAAAAAAGCAGGTAACAGATGTCATATCATGCCTGAAAATGATAAAAAGAATAATAAAGTAAAATAACATAAAAGTTACCGTAAGCAAAGTGGCTGATTTTAAATATGAACTTAATGGACTATAAATGACCAACTTACATCTATTGGTAGTGATTCATCTTCCTTTTCTGTTAGTCGCATATAAGAACGATCTATAAACCAGAAACATACCATTAAGGAAATTGTAGCCCATTTTCCTTTCTTAAAATGCAAGAAAATCAATATACGAAAGAACTGGCCGACTTATATGCTACATAAAGTAATGCTAATCCCAAATTCCTCAAAACCCTCTTCCCATGCAGTCAGCAGCCTTACCTTTATGAATTAGCTTATGCTTGCCATGGCCCGTCTCTATTACTTTAAATGACTGACAGATGGCCAAGTATGAAACTGAAATAACTAAGCATAAATTTTCATTCATTAGTATAGAAAAATCTAGCAATTCTCAAACTTCCTTTCACTAAGTGGTCAAAAAAGTCATAATTATTTAACGATCACTAGGACTACAAATATCTTCAATGCTCTATGACCCTGCCATTGTACAGTGAACCCAAAGTGAAAGCTAGAAATGTTTCTCTTCAGTGTAGTGGTGTAAATGGAGTTTCAGGACATCAATTTCTGTTCCCGCTACTACTTAATTCTGCTGCTGCCTTAACTGCAGGAGGCAGCAAGGGATTGAAGGATCAGGATTTGGAAACTGGTAACCCTGAGTCCTATACAACACCAGCTCTTTTATTTGCTATGATTTACTGCACCTCACTCAAGACATCTTCGGCAACCCCAACACGTATTTCATTTGTAGAGGATTAAAATGATGTGAAAGTGAGCCAGGTGGTGGTGGTGCACACCTTTAATCCCAGCACTTGGGAGGCAGATGCAGGCAGATCTCTGTGAGTTCGAGGCCAGCCTGGTCTACAGAGCGGGTTCCAGGACAGGCTCCAAAGCTACAGAGAAACCCTGTCTCGAAAAACAAAACAAAACAAAATAAATAAAATAAAATGTGAAAGCGAGCAGAGTGTTTCTTAGACTCACAGGGCTACAGAACCACTCATCTGGCTGCGTTTCCTCCACAGTAAAATGGGATGTGCAAGTTAAACAGGATTTACTTAGTACATGATCACTGCACCGCTATACTAAAGGTCACTATGGCAGAGATGAGCATGCGACACCACCATAGGATGCTATCTGATGCCACAATTTCACATGACACAACTAAAGTCAAAGGTGATACCAATCTTTTGCCAGCTCACGATGGCATTGCAGAGGTCTTGCTGCAGTTACAAATCCACAATGCATTGTACTCACTTGAAAATTATAAAATCCAAAATCTTAATTCTAGATTAAGCAGGGCAATTCCTACTTGATAACGCACTCTAGACTTAAAATACCCAAACTGTTTTGAGTGAATGTGGTTTGCTTTCAGGCAGAGTATATGTGAGTTTACAGAACTTATAAGGACAGGAGTAAAAAAAAAAAATCAATCCAATATCAAAAGGAGTTTTGAATTAACCTTCTAATGTCCCACTTCTAGCTAGCTTTCTTGCTTGAATGAAATCTAACCTGGCACTTTAACACTAGCTAGGCATTTCTTCATTGTTGAAGAACAATGGACTTTCAGTAAGGGCCTTCCTTGCTCTACGACTGTATACATAATAGAGCCAAAGCTTACTTCGAAAATAACCCAGTACGCCAGTGTATCCTAACCTCCTCCAGGACACTGTTTCACAAACCAACGTGCATGGAAATCACCCAGGGATCTATTAAAACGACGATTCTCATTCAATACGTCTGAGGTGGAGCCTGAGTGTCTACTAACAAGCTCCCAGGTGATGTCCATGATGCTGGCCTAGTGACCACGAGCATCAAGGCTCTAAGACACTACCCGCGGGTCCCCGTGAGCCTCTATGCATACACACTCCCCCTTTAGCATATCCTTATTATCTTGCTGTGATGCTTTTTTGTAATTATTTCTTCACTAGCTTATTAAGAATTGCCTTGTGGCACCGCGGAACCTCTAGCATCTAAAAGCAGAAGCAACTTCAATCAAGTCCTCTGAGACAACAAATTAAAACTCACCCTACAGCACGTTATCTGCTGCCCAAGGTCACACAGCCTCAACAGTTAAGCAAAATTTTAACAAGCAGCCCTTTAATGCTACCGGTCCACTGCTCTTTGCCCGTGACACACTGCCTCCCCGAGGCAAACGGTCACTTAACTTCTCAGACTCTGCCTGGACAGCCGAGCGCCCAGGATGCTGTCTACCTGTCACGAGGCCACAAGCATTTAAAGTTCTCAATCCCACACTTTGTCTGAATCGACAGCTCGTGTCTTGAGCAGTGGGACAGACTCTGCTCTGAATCCTCTCTGGAGTCTCAGCCAGCTCGTCTAACCTTTTCTGTGGTGGCTGTGCCACAGCCCTCCGATCTCAACCCTCCACTGAGGACCCAAACTGCTTTACTTAGTCACCCCAAACTATAAGGTCGCCAATGGCTGTTCCGCCGGCATTGGGTCCGACAGTTCCTCAGGGAAGCGCCCCCACACAGCCCTAGGTGTCCCATGCGCGAGAAGTTCCCGTCCTTCAGGCACTTACGCTGAGCAGCTGAAAAGGCAGCGTGGGCTAGGGCAAAGAGGCCGACGCCTACAAGCCCTTTCCACAGCGATGGCGCCATGATTCAGAAGGAGCGGCAGCCCAACAAAGGAGGCGAAGGGCGGCTGGGCTATTCCTTCTTTCACCGGCGGGCGTCCACGCGGCGCAGGAACATGACGTCACCAAAGCCCTAGGCGCGAAGTGCCGGCTGGCGCAAAACCCTGTGCGCCGTGAGAACAAGGAAAAAGGAATGCTGGGAAGAAGGGGAAAGCGACAGGGGAAAAGGGTCCTCGGGGCCTCCTCCGAGTCTGCGCAGTGTTGCTGCGGCGGGAGGGGCGGAGCTGAGTCGAGGGCGTGAAAGAACGGGCTAAGCGAGACCAATGGGGAGAGGAAGGAGAGCACCAGCAAATTAGCGCTGGACTTGGCGAAGGGGCGGGACTTACGGAAAGGCCCTAGAGGAGAAGAGGGTGGGGCTGGTGGCCAAGGCTGTGGGTGCCTGATTCAGAATCCTAGCGGTTGGTGTTTGGAAGTTGGCTAGTTGGGTGATTTGGTTTTCTTTCGAACCGAGTCTTTCATTTCATTAAGTCTTCCTTATGCTTCTGGCCTCGGAGAAGTGGTGCTGAGGAAGATTACTGGGAGGAGGAAAGCATTTGAGCATTAATGTCAGGAGGTAAATAAAGTGCGGAGGGCGATAACTTGGTGTGGGGGGTGGAGCCTTAGCTTGCAGGAGATGCTCAGAAAATTAATTCAGCTTGTAACTTTTCTACTTTACCTTTCTTCAAGAAAGGTCCACGCGAAAAGGAGTGTAGCGTGTCAGAATTGTTTGGTCGTGAAGAACGCTAGCATGCATTAAGGAAAAAATAAGACAACAAAGGAATGTTTAAAACAGTCTGATCAGGATCCAGATGTAACCTCCTTTCTCTGTTTTTGTCTTCTTCTCCTAAAATGTAGGCACGCAAAAGTGAGGTCTTCCTTTGATCTCTTCTTGCTCTGCTCTCTGTTGACAAGCTCATTAATTCGTTTCCACTTCAGACCAGCATAGATACTCCAGTGATCCCAAGTCAGCTACTGCGTCTCAAATACCAGTCTTTGGCTGCCGTTCAGCATTCCCAGCCACCCACCGCTGGATATTAATTTGCATGTGAGTAGACCCTGTGGCACATGAAAATTTATATGGCCAAACGTAACTCACCCCGTTGACTCTATGTAAGTTACTTCGGTGCCCCTGCTGAGTGCTACAGCTTTGTGAACTGCATATCACAAAGTAAATGTAATTATCATTATTTCCCACCGACCTCTAAAGAACTGTCATCTGAACCCGTAGGCTCCCCAGTACCTGTTCAGTGGTGATCCTTATTATTTATGCCTTTTAAATTAGAAGCATCTCCACTTGTGATCTCTTTAATCTACTCTGAATTTGTGTCACCTTCTAAAACTATATCATTTTTTTCACCATGTTTGTTATGTTGCTGTTGTTTGCTGCTTCTCTTCCCATTCTGGAATGTGAACTACAAGAAGACAGCTTTCTCTGTGCATAGAACATTGACTGTCAGATAGTAGACATTGAATGCATGTTTGTTGAATGAAGAATGAATAAATGTTGGGAAAGAATTAAAAGTGACTTAATCACTGAAAAGATCTTTACAAAGATTCCTTCAAGTATTTTCAATTGGATTTTTAAAAATCCCTGTGGTTTTTAAAAAAAATTTACTTGGGTTTCTTCAAATCTTAAAAACGAAAAGTTAAGACATCCAAGAGTCAACATACTTCCTTACGTTTAATTATATGATTTTTGATTTGGATCCCATTACTCAAGCATTAAGTCATGATCATTACTGTTCTCCGGGCTTTCTCCACACAGTGCTAGATCAGCATCAATCACAATGCCCTTAGAAAAGCAGAACTATCAATAAACGTCACAGAACGAGCAATTAACTAATCACTATTTAGTTGGCAGGAAAATGCTTTTTCCTTTCTTGTTGGGATGTTGCAAGATATAAAATCCACTTTTAAAACAAACCAAAATTTTGTTTTAGCTTATATAATGGTCATTAAAACTTTTCTGGGTTACCTAATAACAATTTATCTGATGCAGTAAATGATTAAATGATTGGAGGGTTTTGAGAGGGAGAGTTACAGGCTCTTAGTTATAGCCTTTTTTATTTTAGAAAAAAGGAGAAATGTGATAATTTCTTTTTTATGTGGTGATATTTCATTTTGCTATAATAAATAAAGCTTGCCTGAGGATCAGAGTGTGGTGCGAACCCCTAGTTAGAAAGAGGCCAGGCAGTGGTGGCACACATCTTTAATCCCAATACTCAGGAAGCAGAGATAGGTGGATCTCTGTGAGTTCAAGGCCGCCCTGGGCTAAATAAAATTGATCCAGTCTAAAAGAGAAACAGAGTCGCTGGTGGTGGCTCACACCTTTAATCCGAGTACTTGGGAGTCACACACCTTTAGGAAGGTAGAGACAAGAAGGGGTATGGCTGGGTGGAGAGAGGAATATAAAGTGGGAAGGAGACAGGAGCTCAAGGCATTCAGTCTGAGGATTTATAGAGACAGGATGCCCCATTCTGTCTGAGGATTTGGTAGAAGTGAGAACTAGTGGCTGGTTGCTCTGATCTTTCAGCTTTCACCTCGTAATATCTTACTCTACTTTTTAAAATTTTTTTGTGGGGTTTCCTTTTATTGAAAATATTTTTTTCATACAATGAATCTTTTAAAAATTTAATTGTTTTTATTTTACATTCCAGCCACAGTTCTCCCTCCTACCCACCCCGTCTCCTCCCCTCCAGTCCACTCCTCCCAACCAGTAAGGGCTCCCATAGGGAGTCAACCAAGTCTGGCACATTAAGTTTGGGCAGAACCAAGCTCCTCCCCCCTGCATTAAGGCTGAGCATGGCCTCCCACTATAGGGAATGGGTTCCAATAAACCAGCTCATGCACCAGGGATAGATCCTGGCCCTACTCCCAGGAGCCCCTCAGATAGTCCAAGCTTCACCACTGTCTCCCACGTATGGAGGGCCTACTTCAGTCCCATGGAGGCTCCATAGCTGTTGGTCTAGAGTTCCTGAGTTTTCATGAGCCTGGTTCAGCTGTCTTTGTAGATTTCTCCATCATGATCTTGACCTCCCTTGCCCATACATTCCCTCCTCCCTCTCTGTGATTGGATTCCTGTGGTGAGGGCAGAGGAGGAGATAGAAGTGTCTGAGGTCTGAGTCACTTCTTTAAAGAAAAGAGAGAAATACACCCACTGAGAAGTCTGATATTTGTATCAGCCACCAATGTATTTTCCTAGTCTTCAGGGAAGTGACTCGATTCTAGAAAAACAGTTTTGCTTTCTGTTAATAAACATTTGCATATCTCCCCATCTCGCTCTTACTCTCTTTTATGTGTTCTCTACTCTTTTTAATCTTTTGCCTAGATGCAACTAGTGACAGCACTGTTTTCCTGAGAACACAATCAAACTGCGTCAGACACATTCCTAAGTAACCACAGAAGTGTCTGAATTATCCCCCTGCCAAAACACTCCCTATATGTATCATGGATTAATTAATGATACGGGTATTATTGGAGGCGGGAATAATAACAGCTAAAGCATTTATAGAGAACTGTTCCCCAGGTTAGTGTGTTGACTGGAGCAATGTGTCCCAGCATTAGGCCTTTTCTTCATGCCAGCCAAGTTCTTAAATACCTTCAAATGCTACTTGTGAACATTTTACTCTCTGTATTTTCCCCTTTATCTCCCGTACTCTGACGTAGTTTGATAATTCACCTTTTTTTTTGCAAATGTGTTCCTATTACAGATGTCTATAAGGAAAAATATATAAAATTATATGTACTAAAATGGCTGATGAGATGGGTTAGTATGTGCTGCCAAGCCTTATGACCTCACTTTAATCTCCCAAACCCACATGGTGTTAGGGGAGAGAATGATTTCCTTAGAGTTGAATATGGGGAATGTGTAAACACACTGAATTAATTTTTTTTTGTTTTTAGAGACAGGGTTTCTCTGTAACTTTGAAGCATCTCCTGGAACTAGCTCTTGTAGACCAGGCTGGCCTCGAACTCACAGAGACCCTCCTGCCTGTACCTCCCAAGTGCTGGAATTAAAGGCCTGCACTACCACCACCCGGCCTGAATTAAAGTTTTTAAGAAAACTTTTTAAAGCCATTTATATATAGAACTGTATCTCTGGGTAACAGATTCTAGGATTCTATAGCCTTCTAGGCAAACTAACCTGCTTGCCTGCTCTGTCTAACTGCCTGCCCTTCTCCTTTCCTTCCTCCTATCCTCCCCACTTCTTGGACTTATCAACAAGCAAGGAATTTTATAGATCTTTCTCGGGGAAGAAATCAGATCAATAAAACAGCAGAAACTGAATCATTCAGACAGACAGCTCTGCCACAGATCCACATAGGTTTTCCCTAACACATCCATCATGCTAAAAGTGCAGGTCCAGGTTCCCTAAAGACATGTACGGGATCTGCCAGAGAAGAATTCACACACTTTTTAAAACAATAGCAAAAATCAGGAGAAAGCAGAACCCCTTCAACACATTTTATCCTTGAGCCAGGCAGATGTATAGCCCTTATCAGGGCTCATGCCTTTCTACAGGTAGCTTCTGGTGGCCCTAGGCAGCTCCCTAGAGGCCAGAACTGGAATCCGGGTCCCTGGATTGAAGCTCTCTTTAGAAAACTAGCATTTTCAAAATTGATGTTGCATCCTTTTATTTTCTTTTTACAGAAATAGTGTGTACTTGAAAGAAATTCAAACGAGAAACAAGAAAACATGTATCTCAAAAGATTAAGTAGCACCTTGGTATTTTGAGAATCCAACCTTTATCATTTTTTTTTTTGGTTTTTCAAGACAGGGTTTCTCTGTGTAGCCCCTGGCTGTCTTGAAACTTACTGCGCCCGACCAAACTGGCCTTGAACTCACAGAGATCTGGGCCTCTCCCGAGTGCTGGGAAATAAAGGTGCATACCACCAACGCCCAGCTTGAGAATCCAATTTTAAGATTGTATTTACATGACTTCATGGCTCTGAGTAGTTTGCTGAACTACTTAGACTACAATCGTTTTCTAGAGCGTGTACCCGGGCCTGGGTTGAGTTTAGACCCTGGATTTTCCTTCTCTACATCTGGGAAATTGAAGGAGTGCCTGATCTCTGTGCTTCAGTTCTGTCACCTGTAACTTGAGGCTAGCCATAGTGCTCATTTATAGGGCTGTTGTCAGAGCTGAGCGTGCTGATGCCTGTGAGTGGGTGAGTAATCTCACACACTGTAAGCACTCGGTGGATGTTGACTTATTAGTTGGATATTAGGTGGATATTGTTTTATTAGTTAAAAAACATTTATTTTTAAAATTATGCCTGAGTGGATGTGTGGGTGGGTATGTGCACATGAGTACAGGTGCCTACAGAGGTCAGAAGACCAGTGTCTCCCCAGAGCTGGAGTTCCAGGTGGTTCCATGTGGGTGCTGGGAACTGAACTCAGGTTCTCTGGAAGAAAAACACATGCTCTTAATATCAAAGCCACATCTCCAGGCCTCAATTTTTTATTTCTTGTTACTTTACTATCACTGTGGATGTATGACATTGGGGGAGGGTGGTGCTTGTGTGCCATGTGTGCCATGGCACAGATGTGGAGATCAGAGCACAAGTTCATGGTTCTCTTTTTCCATTTTTATGTCAGTTCTGTGACTCCAGCTCAGATCCTCATGATTATACAGCAAGTACTTTCTTTACCTGCTGAACAATCTCTTAATCCCCATTATTTTTTAATGTGTGTATGTCTGTGTGTGTCTGTGTCTGTGTTCATGGGTATGAGTACAGGCGAGTGCAGGTCAAAGGACAGCCCCAGGTGTTGGTCCCCACTCTCTACCTTGTTTAGTACAGGAGCTCCTTGTTGGCTGCTGTGTACCCTAGACTAGTTATCCCATGAGCTTCCAGGGATTCCCTAGTCTCTGCTTCCCCTCTTGCTGGAGGAATACTGGGATTACAGATGTGTGTTATCACATCTAGTCTTTTGTGTGCCCTGGGTATACGAACTCAGATCTTCTTGCTTGTGCAGTCAGTGTTTTCCCCACTGACTGCGCCATTTCCTTAACCCCCATTATTATTATTATGGATCCTTCTATTT